TGTTTCTATATTAAAAAAATATATATAATAATATTTTGAATTAAATATATTTTTTTTTTTTTATATAGAAACAACTAAAGAAATGATTAGCTTTGCTTTTCACTCAACACCTTCTCACCAATTCAACTCATACCTTTGTGGCTAAGAAGCATAGCAGCAGCAGGTTGACTTCAACACCCCATGTCGTCTCTTTTTTAACTCACATCAGTTCAGCTAGAAGATGACTTGGACCTGGCTTGATGTTACGTGGAAGGAACTTCTGTTATATTTGGTATTTTTTAATATAGATTTAGTATACTTTTATAGATTTACATGCTAGTTAGCTAGCACTGTAGCAATTAGCTAGATTCTTTGCTAAGTTGTTTATTGTAACAACCCCCCCCCTCCCAAAAAAAAAATGCTCAGTTACCGAAAGGAAAATTACCGGTAGTAATAAATAAATAAATAAACTTTGACAGACCTTCATTTATTTATTTATAAAATTTATTCAAATTTTAAAGCTAAACAAAACAATTATATATACAATAAGAAATACAATCACAAATAAAATGAAAGGCAGCAAAAAGAAGAAAAAAAAATCTTAATTATATCTGTCCCTTTTTTTCAAACAATAATAATCTTCAGTTAACAAAACAAAATAACTAACTCCTTCTTGAGCAACAATTCATACAAATACACATTAAGCTGTTTCATTTTTTTTTTTTTTAACAAATCAACTTTGATCATTCTCTTAAACATACACATTGATCTGGCATTTTTAACATCCCTCTCCAGATTATTCCATAATCTAATTCCTTGGATTGAAGTAGACCGTCTCTTCAAACTAGTTCTAAATTTCGGTTTCACAAATATCTCTATCCCCTTAAGATTATAACAACTTTCTTTTTTAACAAAATGTATTTGGATATTTAAAGGTAATGTGTTGTTATGAGCCCTATACATAACTGATAAAATACTATAATCTACCAAATCATGGAACTTCAATAACTTCAGTTGATAAAATAATGTGCTTGATGGGTGACTGAGATGCTTCCTGGTAATAATTCTTACAGCTCTTTTCTGTAAAACAAAAATAGGATTTATAATCGTTTTATACGCTTTCGCCCAAACATCAATACAATAGATTAAGTGTAGAAAAATTATTGCATTATACAACATATACAGAGCTTTATCATTCAATAACTCCCTTACTTTGTAAAGTGCTGCAATCGATTGAGCTATTTTTATTCTTACATAATTTATGTGACGTTTCCATGTCAGTTTTTCATCAATGATAAGACCCAAAAACTTCACCTCACTAACTCTACAAATCTCAACACCCTCAACTTTAAATGGAACATCGACAGGTCTCTTTTATTACTGAATAGCATATAGTTAGTTTTATCTAAGTTTAATGATAATTTATTAAGTTTAAACCAAGTTTGTATTTGTACAAATTCTGTCTGCATCAACGCCAACATCTGTTCTATAGCTTTACCCAAACAAAAAAATGTGGACTCATCTGCAAATAGGACACATTTAAGGAGTCCTGACACATTTACCAAGTCATTCACATATAAAATAAATAACTTTGGTTCGAGTACAGAACCTTGAGGAACTCCACTTGCGATATTACAGAGGTCAGATTTTACATAATTTATTTGTACAAACTGTTTCCTATCTTTCAAATAGCTAGATACCCACTGTAGTGCTGGAAGCAAGAGATAAGAAAGTTGCTGCTTGGAAGCAAAATATAAAGAAATGAGTGATCAGTCATGACTTTTGCACGGTACTGTTTGTTGATAAAAGTATGAAGAAATATATTAATCTTGACAGTAGTACACATTGATTGGATGTACCAAAACTAGTCACTTTGTTTGTTGTCTTTTCTGTAAGGTGTGTGGTATAAAAAGCTTCTGAACGTGCTTTTGGGTGATTTTAATGACATAATAAGCAAATTAATGTTCTGTGCCTTGACTCATGACCTGGACTACATTAATGCTGTCCTGTAATTTGACAAATCCTGCTCGCTGAACTAAACTTTGGCAGCGTGTTAGCTTCGATGCATAAAAGCCAACTCTCCACATTCTAGATCTGCTTGTGCACCCGAGGACGATCTGTGCCCGTTTTATGTGTGAGTATGACTAACCTCCACTTCCCGACGGCGCTCCCGGATGTAGCTGCCGCCTCGGTTCCTCTTTGTTCCTGTCTATTTTTTTTTTCCTCCATTTGCTGCCAAACTCATTCACAGTCCAGTAAGAGGTTTATCCACGAGGATTACGTTAAATCAGTAAAGTGTCGGAACAATGATGATCATGAACCAAATTAAAGTGTCTGATGTGGCAAACAGACTGGATAAATCTTAACTGGCTGTCACTTTTTACACCACTAAACTCCAACTTGATTTTCTTTCTTTTTTTTGTCACTAACACCATTAACACTTTTTAAACTTTTATCGCCCGCCGCCACTAAATGGCAGACAATCGTGTAAATTTCCTGTGTGTGTATATTACTTTATGAGACATATTTTAATGAGGCTTGCAGAAAGTTCAGTAATCATCGGCTTGACTTCTACAACCTTTGGAGTCGACCCAGTTCAAGATGGCCGCCACAGCCAGCTCACTTTAGAAAACACAAAAATAGCTACAACTTGGTGAACTTTGCAGATATTGTGCTAATACAGGAGTCCCTCGATTATCGTGGGGGTTATGTTCCAGACACCCCTGCGATAGGTGAAAATCCGTGAAGTAGGGACGCTATATTTATTTTAGTATTTAGAAATATTTGAAGGCTTTATAAACTTTTCCCGCACTCTTACAATGTTCTAAACTCTTAAACCTTTATAATTTTAACAACATACATATATGTACTGTACAGTACTACAAAATTGTGTATGGGTACTCACCAGTGAAGATACTACTACAACTTGAAGGATGAGTTCAGTTTCAGGATTATTTGTGACTTTCCTGCCAGTTCTGTGATCTTAATAGATAGATTGTTACTTCTGACTTTGTGTTGGAAAACTTTTTTTAACCACATCGGTTTCTCCGCTAGTGTTTGCTCCTTCCATTGCTGTTCTTTGAATTTTGTCAGAAAGCAGCGACCGGAAGCACTGTTGGCTTCTGGGCTGTGTGCCGTACTTTTCGGATTATAAGGCACACCGGATTATAAGGCACATTAAGTGAAACAAAACAGTCAGATAAGTCAAACTTTATTCAACCCATTCACAATAACCACATAAAATTGGTACAAGGTCAGTAAGCACAACCAGAATTCATACGTAAGGTGCTTCGGATTAATAAGGCTGTCGATTTTTGAGAAAATTAAAAGATTTTAAGTGCGTCTTATAGTCTGAAAAATACGGTAGTTCTTTTGACTTCCATTACAGTGTAGACGTATTGAAAGAAAACTACAAAATGGCGGCTCCTCGCCAAAGTATTTTTGCTTTGTTTTGTTTTTGTTTTTTGTCCAACTGGTTGGTTTCAGCTCCCGTTTGCTCCGTTAACTTTTTATCCCGTACCGTCCCTATCACTTAAGCAATATTAAAGTTGACAATTGTGTGTCGTGTACAAGCTTACGCCGAAAAACTGAAAAACAGTGAGTCTGCGAAAGTCGAACCGCGACGTATCGAGGGACTACTGTATTTTCTGTGGTTGTATCTCCAACACACACTCCAAGGGCTGCTCATTGATATTTGCTTTTAACTGTCTGTTAGCAAAATATCTCACGAACCACTCAATGGATTTCAGTGAAACGTTCAGAAAGTACCGGTAATCATGGTATGTGCATTTAGAACTGTTGTAACTTTTGGAGTCAACTCGATTAAAGATGGCTGCCACAGCTAACTGAACTTGTCAAACACACAAATTGCTATAACTTAGTTAATGTTACAGATGTTGACCAAACATTTGGTGTGGTGGTAGCTGAGAGTTATACACAATCTGAGCACAGAACAGATAGCGTGAAGGCTTCGTCTCAACGATGGACAAGCAAGGCAGCGGGCGATATGCATTCCTTCAAAGCATGCTACTTTTGTTCCTATATGTAGTTTTTACTTTCCTCACTGCTCGTGAGCTTTTATTGAACAAACTCACCTCCTTTAATATTTCACTGCGATGCGTTTCCCTCTGTCTGCTCTGCATGCTGTCGTGTATAAAAAAAATTAAAAAATCAAGCCATCTGTTGAAGATCCGTCAGCTTCCCTCTGATGTGTTAATGCACCCTCGAGAGCCAGCTTCACTCTGAATTGTCTCGAGATGGATTTGCGAGCGGATGACAGTTTATCACCCGTCCCTTAAAACGAATTAGCGGTCCGCTCTCTCTCCATTAATAATAGATTAAACAGATCTGTCAGATGCGTCCCATGTTTGTCACACGGAAGACGGCTGAAGGCTTGATTTGCTCCGACGTGCACGATGGTAAACACCTGTTTGGAGCAGTCAGACATCAAGGTCCTAAATATAATTCATCAACATCTCACCTTGAGCTCGTTGGAAGGAGAATACGTTTGCTGGAAGGGAAACTACACGTGCTTTTGAGCTCAGGTTGTGCGTAAAGTTTAATTAGACGAACAAGCTTCAGAGTAAAAATGAGTTCTTTTTGTCTCTATTTTTAGTAAATTGCTCTGAGTTTGTAATAGATTAAGGCATAATTGCTACTCGGGTAGGGGAAATGAGTTTCTCAATCAGGATTGTAGAGTGAAATAAATAAAAAGAACGTGTTGATTCATTCATGTTCACCTTTGTGGGTTCAGCATTACTTATGTCCCAGCTGAGTATCTGGAGGAGTACAAGGCCAGCGTGGAGCAAACTAAAGACGACGTCTTCACAGAGTCAGCCTCAAAGTAAGACTTTGTAACACACACTTAATATTGTTTTTAACTCCTACTCATGATGTCATGCTTCTGTCCAGAATGAGTAATGAAAAGAGGCCAGGGTGATTTGTCAATCATTTTTATTTGATGCTTCTGACCAATCAGATTCAAGCAGATCCTCTCCACTATGCAAGTGTTAACATCAGCAACACAGCTGTCTGGGAACTTATCAATTAATGTGACCCATGCTGATAAAATAAGTCCGAATTAAGCTGCGGTGCAAAAAAAAAAATTTTTTTTAAATAAATGAAAATATTGATTTTTTTTTATATAATTAAGATTTGCTGGATTTGATAAAGATACAATCTAACAATCCTACTAACTAAAATAGATCTATCTATCTAATATCTTCATAATCTGCCTTTAATTTGAAGTTTTCTTATGAGTATAGTTTTTTAAATAATAATTTTAATTCCAGTCTTTTACATTTATTTTAAAATTAAACATTTCTGCCGTAGCTCCGGGAAATCCCTTCATATAATGTTTGCCATCAGTGTGAAGCTTAAAGGTTCTCCTTTATACACACACATATTTATATGCGCCACAAGAAGGGCTGTCGTAGCTCGGTGGTCTGTGCAGTGTTTCCCCTAGTTCACTTGTCTTGGAAGGGCACTCGACTCTGGGGGCTTGGTTGATTTGTTGATGGGGGAGTGTAGATTAGCATAGCGGTATGCAGTGATTACTTGCCTTGGCAGGGTGCTCATCTCTTTGGCGATTTTTGTTGACCTGGGGGTGGGGGTTGGGGGGTGGAGACCGAGACACATCTGTGTTGTGCACTGTTTGTACCAACAGTTTTTGAGCGGGAGAGCGGGGGTTGGGAGACGGCTCAGCGTAAGGGAATTGGAGCGCTACCTAGCTGTTTAGCTAGCGTGTCTGTATTGCGCACCGCTAGCTTAGCGCCATGTCAGTGCCGGCAGTTGTCGAAATCTTTGCGCGAGTTAGTTCGCCGTGGCGACCCCTGAGGAAGGGAGCAGCCCTAAGAAGAACGCTCCAGTAAAACTAGCTTGCTGTCAGGACACGTCAATAAACTCCATGTCAGTAGAGAATTTGAAGATAATAATTTATAAATATAAAAAATATCCTTATTGTGGCTAACGCTGCCACCAGTGTGTGCGTTTTTGTGGAAAAATAATGTTTTAAACTGCAAGCTAGCTATTTCTTCTACGTCACCAAGGCTTTAATAACAGTTAATAAAAATGTGAAACTATGTGAGCTTGAACCAACTTTATTTCCTTTCCCCATGAACGTTTTTAGAGATATTTCCAACCTCCCTGAGCGTGAAGACGGAGAGGGAGAGGAGAGCGCCTCGTACAGCAACTGGAACCAGCCTAGAAAGTGAGTGGATCTATCAAAGCCTCTAATGTAATTATTTTAACAGCACCGACGCTGCAGCTTTGAAATGATCATTTGGAGAAGGAGAAAATAAAATCTGATAAAGATGAGATTGGTGCGTTCCTCAGAGTGGAGCTTTTCAGAGAGCCGGGCAAATCTCTGGGGATCAGCATCGTCGGAGGACGGGGGATGGGCAGCCGTCTGAGCAACGGAGAAGTGATGAGGGGCATTTTTATCAAACACATCCTGGAGGACAGTCCTGCGGGACAGAACGGGACCCTGAAGACTGGGGACAGGATTGTGGAGGTAAAGGAACATCAAAGACGTTAGTCGTTTTTCATGTTTTTTCACAAAGTAACAACAACAACAAAAAAAAGCTAAATGTTTGAGTTTTTACTTTGTTGTGTCTGTTTCAGGTTGACGGTGTCGACCTGAGGGACGCGAGTCACGAGGAGGCTGTGGAAGCCATACGAAGGGCAGGGAATCCAGTTTCCTTCCTGGTCCAGAGTATTATCCACAAACCCAGGGTAAGTCTGTAACAGAGCCCAAACAACTACCATTAACTTAAAGGTCACTGCTTACTTTCATTTTTCTCCTCACATATAAGTTTATTGTGTTTTTAGCCGTTTATTGCACTTTCAACACTAAAACGTACAGAAAATGTTCGGCTCCTGTTGTATCGTGGCTCTTAGAGCGGTGAAAGTCTTTCTCAAAGCTTTTATGAGAACAACAACAAACCATGCTCAGCATATTAACCAACTTATCAATTTAAGCTTTTTTAGAGAGGTTCTTATCGAGACCATGTCTACAACATGGTGTGTAGTTTGAAAGTGCCCTCAGGCCTTTAAATCATGACTAAGTAGTTTCCTGCTGGTCTGCTTCAGCTTCAGCGTCTCTGTCTGTTAAATCATTTTTTGTTTGCTGTTAATTTGGAGTTATTCTATCATCTTGCTTTTTCCAACACTTTCTTTCTTACTGAGTGTGAAGCAACTCATAATCTGACACAGAGTAAACAGGAAGTGGCACTCCAGCTGCTAGTTGGCCCGGTAATTAAAAAAAAGGCTGTTAGCAAAAGTTTCGGTATGCTTTAGCTGGGTAAATTTATTACTGTTGTGAAGTAAAGAAGTTACTTTTTTTTTTTTGCAAAACTGCAGTATGAACATTGAGTTGAAAAAGATAAAACTGAGTTGTTAAAGCTAAAATAAGCAGAAGATGAGCTAAAAGCCATAAGCAAATAGCTACTTAAATGCCAAAAGTGGCGAAAATCTAGCTAAAAGCTGAAATAGGCCAAAAGTTTACTATTAAAGCTTAAAACAGTAAATAATTTAACAAGACTAGCTTTTAGCTCAAAGTAGCAAAAAGCTAACTAAGTAACAAAAAGATTACTAAAAGATAAAGACATCAAAAGGCTAGCGAGAAGCTTAAAGTAGTAGAAGCTGAAATGAGCAAAAAGTTTAAAATTGAAGCTTAAAACAGCAAATAATTTAAAAAGACTAGTTTTTAGCTCAAAGTAGCAAAAAGCTAGCTAAAAAAAAAAAGTAGCAAAAAGTTTACTAAAAGGTAACTAAATGATAAAAATGTCAAAAGGCTAGAGAGAAGCTTAAAGTAGCTAAAGGCTAGCTAAAAGCTGAAATTAGCAAAAAGTTTACAGTCGAAGCTTAAAACAGCAAATCATTTAAAAAGACTTATCTTTTAGCTCAAAGTAGCAAAAAGCTAAGTAAAAGATAAAGCCATCAAAAGGCTAGCTAGAAGATAGAAGTAGTTTAGGAAGATAAAAAATAGAACAAATATGTTAAAGCAGATTTCAAAGAAATCAATGTTTTTAGAGGAATTAAAGAGATCTCTATCCACTTTGAAATATTTAAAATATTAAAGTTACAGAAATCTAAAGTCATACCGCCGTCCACTCGATAAGATAAATGTTTTGATTTGTGAAAGGCTGAAATAGCACAAAGTATGCAGAAGTAGTTAGATTGCAAAAATCATACAGTAAAATAAAAAAACAAAATGATTTTGTTGATTCACCTTTTTGATTTACAAAGTTCTAAAATCACGTCCTATCACTATATAACATGCTGAACTCTGGAGGTCAGTTCAGGACCCCCCAGTCCTGCCCTCTCAGTCCTGAACCCCAGTCATGACCCCAGTTTATGGAACCAACGGTACTCTTTATTAGAGTACGAGTTGCTTCAGGCTCACGTGTCTGTTCCTCCACTCGGCTTTCTCAGCCCGAGTCCCTCTACAGCCCGCCTCCATCGCCTGCTGTGGAGAAGCGCTGCTCCACGTTCACATGCACGCCGCATCGCGCACGTCAGGTAATCTGTCTCTGTCTGTTTTGTCTCTCTGATCTGTAATGCATCAGCCATCCATCACCTGTAATCTCAGTAGGATTATCTTTCCTGTTTTTTTTTTTTTTTCGTTTTTATACCCGTGCCTCGCTCTGTTTTAGCCGAGTCTCTCCTCTTTAGGTCCGTCTTTGTCTTTCATATAATAATGTTTGCACTAAAAGATGTGAAGCAGAATTTGAGATTTCTCCAAGGAGAAAAAGAAAAAGAGAAAGAAGCTGATGTTCAGTTCTGGTTCCTATTATACATTAATCCAACTGGAGCTGAGGCTCAGTGCCGATGAAATCCTCATTCTACATTATTTATAGACACTTAACTCTGCAAACCTTACAGAACAAACACAAGCTTCACGTGTGGAAACACACGAAGGCGTGTTAAATTGACATGTTTTGTTCAGGTTTCATGTATGGATTTTCAACATTTATGTGATCACATGTCCAAACCGTTGTGAATTTGTGTGTTTTATTTCTGCAAAGGATGCTAGGGTTTGCTAACTTGTAGGGACGATATTATCGGCATGGCATTGGTATCGGCTAATATGAGCAATAAAATTAAATATCGGACATCGGCCAATCCATCAAAATAACTCACCGATATAAAAGGCGCTGTTTTAGTATAAGTGTTCGAGTGTTGTCATTGTGTTAGAGCGAGTAAATTTCATGAATAAATTTGACATTAAACATAATCCAAGTTATGTGGGTGTTATGAGGTGTTACATAATTTTCAGTCCCCTTTTTGGCATCTGCATTGGGTAGCAAGCCAAATTGACAAAGACCATGCAGATTAATGTATTTTAATTCCACAACAGAGAAATCTATGTAGTCTGTGTAAATAGGTCTAAGAAAGGGGAAAAATATTGGTATCGGTTATCGGCCAAATACAAACCGGATTCCAAAAAAGTTGGGACACTAAACAAATTGTGAATAAAAACTGAATGCAATGATGTGGAGATGGCAAATGTCAATATTTTATTCGTAATATAACATAGATGACAAATCAAAAGTTTAATCTGAGTAAATGTAACATTTTAAAGGAAAAATATGTTGATTCAAAATGTCATGAGTCTAACAGCCTCAGGGTAGAAGCTGTTCCTCAGTCTAGTGGTTCTACACTTAATGCTCCTTAACCTCCTTCCTGAGGGGAGCAGGGCAAAAAGTGTGTGTGCTGGGTGAGTGGGGTCCTTCATGATGCAGGTGGCCCTCCTCCTGCATCTGGAGATGTAGATGTCTGTGATGGTGGGGAGACTGACTCCAACAGACTTCTGTGCAGCCAATTTGATCTTCACAAAACTCCAGATTGTAATTGTTAACATCCATCCGTTATCTTTTACCCGCTTCTTCCATTTTGGGTCACGGGGGTCGCCGGTGCCCATGTCCAGCAATCACTGTGCGAGGGGCGGGGGACACCCTGGACAGGTTGCAAGTCCATCGCAGGGCATTGTTAACATTAAAAAATTTTAAAAATAAAGAAAGAGAAAAATAAAGACCTTATGTGCAAAGTAATGGGGGAAATACCTTAAAAAATGCCATAAAATAAATATTTTGTTGATTAAAAAAAACAACAACACTGATTTGAAGGACTTCTGTTAACCTAATGACAATTAAAAAAAGTTAAAAAAAAAGTAATTTTTTATTTTTATTTTAGGCTGATCTAGCTCTAAAAAGATTAACTGTTTATTGTAAAAAAAAATAATAATAAGAAAGTAATCAGTAAATAAACAATTAAATAAGGTGGTTCCCCTGAGAAACACATAAAGTAAAGGGACTTCCAGGGTTTAAATTAGTATTCGAGGTTGTGTTT